CCAGTCCTGGCTGCCTGCCTGGGGAAAAGCCCACCGCAAGCTCAGAGTCGATGCTTTCGGTTCAGCCTCGGATTTATGTATTAAATCACTCCAGGTCTGGAGCGTAGCGGGGTTTAATTCCAAGAACTGATGGTCTGTTAGAGTTCTGACAGTCACGCAGACCGTAAGGAGCGGTGTGACATGGGCAGCCACCAAGCTGGGGCTTGGGGTTTTGCTTTAACATGGCAGGCCAACTAAGGCAGTCAAAAAAACCCTAAATAACCCAAACAAAAACAAACAAAAAAAAATTAAAAAAAAAGACCTTGTTTCCTTTTCTGGGGGTTTTCCTTGCCTAAAGGCACTGACACAACTGCACCAGCCATCTGTATATTCATCTTACAAGACAGAAAAAAGCAAACTAGGAAATGCACCTGGCATCTGTCCACTTGTTAACCGAAACTTCTCATTACGCAGTTCCCTACAACCAGACCAAAGTATCAGAAAGAAAAAGAAGTATTTGAAAACCTCCTTGGACACATCTGAGGTCCACGTGTTCACTCTCCTGACTCCTCACCTTCCCCAAATGGCATCTCCACAAGGACACAGGCGTGTCCCGGCAGGAGCCAGGCGTGTCCCAGGGGCTGCGGATCAGCTCCAAAAAAGCGGTCGGCGAGGCGGGGCTCCTCCTGCCGCACCATCCGTCCTTGCAGGCCAATTGACAGATGTGTGCAGGGCGTTAGGAAAGGAGCGATGCTGGTTTTCAGCAGCTGGGGACCCCCTCATTAGCAGGGTTGTAAGGCAATATTCACATTTGCCTTCTCATCCTGTATTTTTGTTTCTAGCCCGGCCTCCCACCTTCCCAAAGGGAAAATCCCGTTAACACCAAGCCACATGGAAGCGGTCTGGTTTTACAACACGCAGAAAGCCGTTCACAGGAGAGGGGGAGGCACAGTCATGAGTTCATACATGCTCAGAAACCCAGGGTCTCATAAATTAAGCAGCCACCCATCCCAGCAAGGGGAATTCTGCACAGAACAAGCACAGGTGCTTTTTTCTTGCCACAGAACAGGTGCAGTTTCAGATATAAAAACTCCTGTCCACCTTCTTGTGGAAAAAGACATGTCAAGCAAATATCAAACTGAAACGGGGGGTGGGGGGGGCAGTGCTGCACAACTTTACTCACTTTTTGGTGATTCATTTGTATTCTGGCAGATCTGAGGACAGGACGGTCGCACTTATGAGCCTTTTTTCTCCCATGCTCAACTACTCCACGTAGTCACCTCTGGGTCAAAATTTTCCATTCTTGCTTTTGCGCCAAAGATATGTTTTGCCTCAAATACATCTTTTCCAAATCTGTCCCAGACAGTTGTCAGGCATTAGCTCCCCCGGATACAAGCCTGTATAGAAGACAGCAACAAGAATAACTTGGTTGTGGTGAGACATTCATTTAATTTATTAGCCACACCTCAGGGGAAATTCTCGCTTTATACTAGTTGGCCCCTAAAATACAGCAATTTCTGCCCATCAGGCTTTGTAATCTAGCTGCTTAATCCTACCGTTTTTTTTCTGTGAAGTCCATCCAGACAAGTCTGCAGCCAATTTCTGCGTGGTTAAAATTCCAGATAACTTTTACAAACATGACTTACAGAAACCCAGGACTTCCGTATGTCCCTGACCCTGATGGTTTCCATCCAACTGCCCTCAGCAACGTAATGCTCTCTCTTTTTTTTTTTTTTAATACATCTGCCCTTCCAAAATTCAGAGCCTTAACAACAGACCAACTTCCACTTGGACTCTCAGTGATTTAAATGGAACCGACATGTTGTCTCTCAATCCAAGGTTAATTTCCAAGAGCAGAAAAGAAATATCACCTAGAGACATCAGAACCTCCTTCAGGACTTGCTGAAGAAGCTGGAGATGACCTCCAGTGTGAGTTACTTTACCCAGCTAGCAGGGGCTGCTCAAGCTGAACCCCACCAGTTTGCTGCGAGCATTAGTGGAATCACTGCTACCAGCACAATAATAAGAGACTGCTGCCGGTCTGGTTTAATCTGTCATTTTCTCTGCTTCTGAGTGAGAAACAAGGAGAAAAGAAAGCTGTAGGACAGACTGCTAATGGATGGTGTGTTATCTGGAGGTACCCCATGCCCTGGTACAGCTGCCCTTCTCTCCACGCCTCATCCAGCACAGGAGGGGGGCACACAGACACACCGATTTTGCCTCACCTTATCCAGGCACCTGCTCAGCTCCCTACCTGGCAAATCCTAATTCAGCATGTCCAGGGCCAACTGGAGGCACGGCACGAGTGCAAAGAGACTGAAGCTACAAGGCTGGTTCCTATTTCTTTGAGTTCTCAGTTATTCCTCCACTGGCTCTTTAATGCCTGCTTGCCCAGATAATTTTCTGGTTATTTAACATATCAAACAGTAAGAAGGGGATAGTCGATAAACATAACAGTCCATAAAACAATTCCTCCTCTGAAGAGCCTGCAGTCTTGACAGAAAACCTCAGAGACATGCAGGTGGCTGAACAGGACTGAAAATAGCTCTCATGCCACCATATAGAGACCAAAGGGACTGTATGCAGACGTGTAGATTTAGCAACCGAAATTCAAATATGCTGAGCACCAGTAGTCAGGGAAAACCACTGAAATAGGCAGAATCACACAGAACATCATTCTGCAGAGCCTCTCCCTTTGAGTTTTAAAATACTGATGGATGCCTGTGCTTAGATTTTTACTAGTGACATTTTTATCTATGCAGTTTAGCAGAATAGGGCAGAACAAGCCTCTTTTACGTGTGCTTTATTCTGCTGCCTGCATCCCAACTTCTTGTATATTTCTAAAAAAAAAATATTCTGATTTTGTTACAAAAAAGGTGACTGAAAGAAATAGCACATTGGATAGACACCCCTACCACCCCATGGTTAGCCAGGTTTATGTTTAACCTTCTGCAGAGGTCGGGGAACAGGGAACATCTTGCTGCTGTTTCAGAAGAGAGGTCCGCAGAAAACTCTGTTGGCAACATTTTTCTGTGGAGGGGGAAAGGAAACTAAAATTTTGCTCTCCTAAAGACGGAGCCCTAGTTGAGAGAACAAGGTTTGTGCAGAAGAGTTATGGCATAGCCTGATGCCCCGCTTGGAGCTGCGCTTGCACCCATCATCCCCCAGCACCTTCCTGGGGAAACCTTGCCTGTCAGCGCTGCTGATGCAACACGAAAGCTCTTTGCATCATGCAGCTGCCAGATGAGGTGTTTGTGCTAGGAGGAAAAGCTCAGGACTCTGATGCCGGGGTCTTTGAATGGCTGTAGGGTTAGGGACCCTGCCAGCAAGGTCTGAAGAATGGGAAGACAGGAGCTGGGATGCCTGGCAGTGTTGCCTAAGAACTTCAGCCTCCTAAGAGCCTAGCAAGAGCAACCGGCCCTGGGGAGCCCAAGGTGGCACAGACTGTGTAAAAAGCCTGTGCTGGTCACGGGGCCACTGTTCTGCGTAGGAAACAGCTGGAGACGTGGAGATTCGCCGTGTGCTGCTAAAGATAATTGAGAAAAACATGCATTGCAGATTGCAGAAATTCAGGTAACTAATGCAATAGCCCTGGCTAAGAATGGGCCTGCCAGCATCATACTTTGCTCTGCCTCCAATAAAATTACAGGAAAGGAAATTTTATCCCCTGATGTAGGTGCTTGGAGGCCTCTGCTAAAGAGTGCTATTCAAGACTAGGTTTCCCTTAAAAAGTGGCCTTTTTCTGTGCAAGACACACATACGCTCTACAGAGACCGCTCTGGTCATTGCAGGTTACAGTGCAATGTTTCTTCTTCAGAGTTATGCAGGTGATCCCACCTTTGGGACAGAAAGACCACCCAGGTCCTCTCCAGTATTCCCCTGCACTTGACCAGTACTGCAGGGAATTTGCCGGGACCCAAGTCAGAGCCTTTTGTATAGCACAAATCCCACGGAGTCCCTTTTCCATTCATAAGGAAAGAAACTCCTTGATGCAGTGGGCAGAGCTAGAGGAAGAGTTCAGCTTCCCCACGGACCTGCTGTTGCTTTATCTTTTACCCCTCCCCTCTCTCATCTTGTCTGCTTTGACTGCAAGCTCTTTGGGGGCAGGTCAAGTCCTTAATATAAGTTTGTACAGAATCTGGTGCAAACAGAATTCTGATCTTGAAGCCTCCAGTGTTTTTATAATATGGGTCAAGCTACCCCTCAATTGATCTTTAAGTCTGATTTCTCAAAACTTGGAGCCAGAGCTGAGACCCCTTGGCTACCTGGACGCTTTCCTACCTTACACTCCTCACCCCCGGGTGGGAGAGAGCCACTGGCTCAAGCGGTAAGTCAGTCTTGAAGGACCAGGGTGGTTTTGTACTCCCTTGCACACAGCAGCTTTGCTGTTTGTTGGTGATGAACAGAATAAAAATGCACAGTAACAGTGCAACCCCCTGCCCCCCATCACTTCTGAAAGCCACGGGTCTCTGTGCATTAATCATGCCTGGTTTCAGTCCCCAGCCACATTTTCCACAGTGTCAGTGCTAGCCAGCTGGGCTGTTTATTTCAGGAAACAAATAGCTCTATCATTTGCACACCCCCTTATAGGCAGACACAGGCTCTCCTCCCGCGTTCTTCAAAAGAAGAGAAGACAAGATGAAGAGCTCTTTGTTGCTGTGGGTGGCCTTGGCAGTCTACTTGGGGTTCATCCTTGTGGCAGGTAGGTGAAACATGAAGACCATGGGAAACTGTGCTTAAGATATCGGTGATGGGTTCTGTGTAATCAGCCATTAATGATTTTAACAGTCAAAAACTGAACCTCAGAGCCTGCTCAAAAAGTCATGCTAGTCATGCTTCAGTGGTAGACACCTCAGTGTCTTTCTGCACCACAGAGCTGAACAGTTTTCATTCCTGCCTTGAGGCTAAAAAAGTGGTGACTAGCTGCAAATTGAAGATTTTATGATTAGCCATTTTTGATCGGGTTTCTGAAGCAACAAACCGCAAACATGCAATGCTTGCTTTTCTGCAGCCCTAAGAAGCTTGCAAGACTCTTGCCCACTAGATTTAAAGGCTTCTAAAATCTTCCTGGTGATTCTGTCATGCTGCAACAGCCAAGTTATCTCTGTTTAAACTGTAGTTTATCATGTAACTCCACTGAATTTCTTGCAAACTCTTGATTGATAGGGAGATCAGCCTGTAACCCAGCACACCCTTCAGTGCAGTTCACAGGTAGTAGATACTATATACTAATGCCAGATCTCTATGTTGTGATCTGAAGTCATCCTCATTCCCATTCTGGATCTGGGCTGCAGGATTAAATCCGTGCTCATGGTTAAACATCCCAACAGCACGGACAACAGCATCCCTGCATTTTCTGCAACTTCTGGGAAAGGGCATCTTATTGCCTACCCAGGCAGGTCCTGGAAAAGTACTGCTTCCCGTGGGAAGTGACCAGCTGTATAATCCACTAGCCGAAAAGGCAGAAAATGTAGAGAAATACTGTGTCAGATCAACAGAGCCCGGACTGGTTTTCCCCATTCATACGCATGGCTTAATATATATCTATATACATGAGCAGCTTAGAGCGGCAGTCAAATCGGAGTTACATGGAGCTACGGGAGAGCTGTTTGTACAACTTATGTTGAAATTAATGTGTCTTTTGTCTAACTGAACCTCTTCTTTAATCAAGTATCCATGTCCACCTGTGGCAGAGTTTGAACAGATATTTTTGAAATGCATTTTCTTCTTCACTATGTTGCAGCTGGATTTTGTTTGGCTTCATAGTGTATTACAGGACACCCCAATATTGGAATATGATAAATTTTGTCAAAATAATCTCTGCATGAGTGTTGAGGGGGGAAGGAACATGATATTGCAGCAAGTCACACACCAGAAAATCGCATCTGCAGACATTTAGAAGGGCATTAGCAACTTCAGTATTTAACCATCACCTTCTCCCCAAAGGGAGATACATGGAACCATTGCTGATAAAACAACATTCTTTGCAGCTTTGTAATTTTACTTTAAGAAATATGTAGAGCACCTGTAACTTTTATGGTTACTGAAGCCAAGAGTATTACACAAGGAATTAAATTAGGACAATATTTTTAGAGTACAGTCAAAAACCCCCAGCATATTCATAAAACAGTATGTTCATATAATTTTATAAGATTAATTAAAGCCTGCTCCCAAAAGTTTTGGGACAACTCCCAAAGCCAATAGGATCTAACTTGAATATTGGCTTTGGATTAAGGGCTTAGAAAGAATTGCACACGTTACATAAAATATGGTGACAGACACCAGAGGATGATCTATGTGAAGGAGAAGAAGCTAGAGACTTTCTCTAAGATAAAAGACCAAGACTCAAGGGGGCAGAGGCTAAAGAGGCTTCCAGCAAGCTTCTGCTTCAGAGGGAAATGTTCATGTTGAGTGATGAGCTGGCAGAGAGAAAGCACGCAGAGAAACCAAGATTGGAAGGAGAGGTATGAAGAGACATTTAACTCCAAATAACAGTCATCTCTGTGTGTCAGATATGATGATGTATTTCTGCCTTGGTGGGGCACGCTGCAATCAGAAGCATGCCTGCACTCACACTCTGAGAAGGTAATTCCGCTGCCAGTTGTCAGAGAAACAGTGTTTGTAACCAGCAGGTGAATTGCAGGGTCTCTCTGAGGCATTGTTTTACACAGTTTTGGTGTCTTTTCCAGTTGTAAGGCGTGTAAGGATCTCAGAAATAGCCCAGTGGCATGGAAGCAGATGAGACCAGCATATTGTAGGGGCAGGAAGGAAGATCTAAGGTGACTTTTATCAGAAACCTGGAATGCTATCTGCATTACATTGTCTGGACTAGATACTTAGGGGCTCTGCCAATCTATACTGCAGAAGACCTGTCCTTGTTTGGTCTTGCAGACAGCTTCATGTGACAGTGAAGCTGCCACCAACAGCAGCTAACAATCAGAACACTTAAGTGCAACACAGAGTCCGTGCGCTGCTCCTGGGTCCTCTCTTTGCTGCTGCTCCCACAGGCTTTGAGCACTCTCCCCTTCACTCTATAGCAACAGGGTCTGTTGTTCATAAAACCCAGCAGCTCTGGACATGGAAATTAAAAAAAAAAAACAACAGTCATGAGCTTATGCAATATGTGTGCCTGCTTCCTTACTGATCCATGCTTTGATGACTCAAAGAAATCCAGCTATTAGAACCAAAGCTTTTAAGTCAAAGTGACTCTGAAATCCTCCATAGACATGAACACCACAGACATTTTTAGCCTGTTGCTTCTTTCTCTCTATGGTTAAATCAAGGGACAAGCAGCAGGCAAGTCCCCAGAATTGTGAGGTCCATCTGAGCCCAATATAAACTATTCCCATCTCACACACAAAAATAAAGAGTTTTGGTGCTTCTAAGCAGGCTGTAAGTGCTGTAGGAAGAGTGATGCTGCCAAGTGATGACTGTGAACTTTATTTTAGCAGCATTTTAAATACAGGACATAAAAACAACCTCTTAAGCAGGGTATGACTCTGTGTGCATATAAAAGCAAGGCTGGCTTGTTATGGGAGGAGAGACCAGAGGCTGTTGGGGAAAAACCAACTAGCAAAGAACAAGCTATTTCCAGTTCATCTACTTGCTCAGTGAGGAAGTAGGCATCACATGCCACCAGGAACATTCAAAAAGCCTCTAGGTGACAGATGGGATCTTTTACCCAGTTTTGACTAGGTTTCATATTGAATAACATGCTAAAAGTGCAGGAGACATACCCAGCCTAGTTCTTCTCTGTTTGAGTAAGCTCCTCAGCTGCCAAACTCAACTTCTGTGTAATCAGGAGAACAGAAAATCAGGAGTGTAGTCTTCCCTGCTAACTGCAAGCATGCTAAGGTCCACTTGCCTTTCACTGACAGGTTGCCAAGCTGCCTTCTTGTGGGGTCCTGCAGTTTTGGCATCTGTTCCCTCAGGGACCTGAAAGACAACATAACCTTCAAGGAAAACTGACACATCTGCCACGTCGGCAAGGCCAGACACATCTGTTTGGAGGCCAGATCCACACTAGGGTTTTGACTGCTAGCATAATCCTGGAGCATGATAGAGGAATTGGGGAACCTCCCCAGTAAGGGTAAAAGCAGCACTTCAGCTGCCAGGTATAGCTTGAGGCTTGCAAGGGGTCTTTCTTCCCATTTCATGGGAAAGCCCTTCATGTTTGTCTCTCTCACCAGCAACAGCGTCCAAGTTCATCATTTCCTCCTTCCCAGTCCCATCACCTTCACATACAGCAGCATGCTGTAGACTGAGGAGGGCAGACAGCTGAGCTCATCTTTGCCAAGAAGCTCATTTGTACCTGCTGCAACCTGGACTTTAATCAATTGAGATGCCATAATGCTGCATTTCTGGCATTCTCATATCACTTGGTTTTCTGCTAGAGGAGGTTTCAAGGTTTTTCTGCTTCACCCTGGGATTGCATATCTTGTGTTTGCAGGTTTTCCACGGTACTCTGAGGACGAGGAGTATGTGCTGGTCAATAACAAGTGTCAATGTGTAACAGTGACCTCAAAGTTTGTCCCCTCAAAAGAAGATCCTAATGAAAAAATCCTGGAGAGAAACATACGCATCATGTAAGTAGCAGACAAGTATTACATGGAGATGATGTGTTATAGGAGTTCCCTTTTCTTTGCATTGTTTCTCATGTCCTAGCATTAATGAGATAATTTTTTTTTTCCCATGGGCTTTCTATAGTGTCCTGGAATAGTTTCTTTTGCTCCCATCTTAAGTTTTGTGTTTTTCTAGCTCACATGTGCTGCCTATCTGGTGTTGTCCCTTCAGATTTAGAAAGCATCTCAATTTTTAAAGAGGTCCAGTAGTAATTGTACAAAATGGGCCAGGCAAGTAGAGTGTAATGTTTCTACAGCTGATCTAATCTGAAACAAAATTGGTCTCATGACACTGGACTCATTTACAGATCTGATCTGTTAGCAGGATTGCTATTTTATAGCTGGGAAAACTAGTTCATGCCTAAACTATCAGAAAAGGTTAGTCCTATGAGGTAGAACTTGTTTTAGGAGCAGGATTTCATGCTATTTATTCACACAAACTTTACAGAAATGCAGGTGGGTGTCTCTTGGAAGCATGGACCAAGTTCTGGCTCAGAGCTGCAGGAGTTTTGGTAGAGTCCACAACAGGAGAAACACTCATTAAACATCTCTGTCTGTGTTCTGCAAGTCTCACAGGCCTCTGCCGACTCAGAATTTTAAAAAAGGAACTTATCAATCAGCACTGTCACCTTGAAAGCAGCACTTCCAGAAATCGCTGCAGTCCTCTTGGGGAGGGTTGTTGCCTCTGAGGGCACAGAAAGACCAAGATCTGCCATTCCTGGGCTTTGCTATGGAGAAGGGTTGGAAATAACCTGAAGAACAAGATGAGAGTTGAGAATTGGTCACAGCAGAGTAGTCCCCTGTTTAACAAGCAGTTTTCATGAGAGCGATTCTCTTCCCTCCTTTGCAGAGTTCCCCTGAAAGCCCGAGAGAACATTTCTGACCCCACATCCCCACTCAGAACCAAATTCGTCTACCGCCTGACTGAACTGTAAGTAATTTTATTTACTAAGTTAGTTTCTTAAGACTTAACAAGGTGAGGCAGGGTCACGGAAGAAAGTTTTCTCTGCAGAGCCTAGCTTTCATGTTCTGTTGCAAGCCAAGAAATTGTTATCCCCATGCTTAATTTACATGGAAAGGTCTCACATTTACAGGGCATGTTTCATTCTGACCCCTGTTCATCTTGGATGTCTTAAATATCAGCAAATTACATGTTTCCTGTTCAACCCTCCCTTTTAGGGGCCAATCTTGGCAATAGCAGTTTGACAACACTAAAATAACGTCTGGGAGTCCCTCTGTAAAACCTAGAAGGGCCCCAGTACCCACCTTGTAACATCTGCAGACGAGTGAAGGTTTGGGTTTCACCAGGGCATCTTTTAATCACAATTCTTAACACTCATTCTATTCCTCATCTTTTCCAGCTGCAAAAAACGCGATCCTGTGGAAGTTGAACTGGGTGGTGAGATATACCAGGCCCAGCAGAGCACCTCCTCCAATGAACCTGAAACCTGCTATACCTACAACAGGGACGAGTGCTACACCACAACCTTTCCGTTCCTCTACCGTGGGACAACAACGAACGTTCAAGCAGTTCTGACACCAGAATCCTGCTACACCGATTAGCTCAATCCACTGCTGTGCTTGTGCCTTGTTGCTCTCAGTGTTCCTATCAAAAATACATGTACTAGCACCTGAACAACAGTGTCCAAAATATCAGCTCCCAGAGTAATACCACCTTGCCTCTTCATCTTGTTTTCAACATCAAAAGAGTACCATCTCCCCAAAGCAGCAGCTAATTGTCAGAGATTCTGTTCTCACATTTCCAGCCCGTATCTGCAGTACTGCAGATTATTATCTGTCTCAGACATTATCACCACACAGACCAGATCCTCAGCAGCTGTAAATCACCGATTCCCTTGAAATCAAGGGAACTACACCAATTTACAGCCCCGGGGAACCTGTCTTTTTGACAGTCTTCCATCTGTCTGTATTTGAGCAGGGCTGCCACGGACATCAGCAGGAATGTACTTCCCTCCCGGCGTGATCTAAAGCAAACCTCCACACAGATTTTACACAAGACCCTTTGATTACCTGAGCAGAATTTGTGCCATTATTAGTCTGCTGTACACTTGTATTTGAGAGAAAAAGATGAAGGATGAGACTGAATTCAGATTTCCAAGTTATTTTGGAATTGGGCATTCTAGACCCTTCTAGGATTTTGACAATTGCAAACTTCCAGATTTCACATACATTTAGAGAAAATCAAAAGATGCCACGACCCTGAAGCATTTTGCAAAGTTGACATGACCTCAGCTGTGCCAGGAATAGTAAACTCTTCTAGCAAATGTTAGGTATTCCACTTTCCACAGTTATTTACTGATGCCTTTTCCCAGCCTTGCTTCCAGTTTAATTGATAAAAAAAAAAAAAAATCATGTTGGTTTGAATTTCTTTTCTTGTTCCTCATTTTGCATTTAGAGCTGCAAGAAATTCTATGAAGCTGATTCAATTGCTAGAGCAGGACCCTAGTTAGAGATTCATCCCTTCTTTCACACCAGTAGTCTTTCTCTTCATACAAGAAGCCCTCACCAAATGAAGGGGCTGATTCTGTATCCCAGCTTGTATTTAAAGGCGTTACCCCTGCTATTGCCTATAGAGACATCACCTATATGAGTGCATAAGGTGTCCAGTATAACATTTGGGATGGCTGGTATGTTCCTCACTGTTGTCAGATGTCGATTGTAAAGCCTTAGGCTATTCTGGTAAGTCCTTATCTGGCTTCACACATTGTTGCAATAATAAAACAGCAAACACCTTATTCCCATCATTGTAGCTTTATTAGTGAATTATTAAATAAATTGTTTTCTGCAGCAGTCTGTGTGTTGTATTCCAGTCAAATAAGAACTCATAAGAAAAAGCCAAGTCTATAATGCTACTCTTCCCTCTTTGCAGTGAGGAAGTAAAAAGCTTTCCCTAAGTAACTGCTTATCCTTACAGGCAAAGCCTCCTGGAATACGGAGATAAAAATATTACGATGCAGTTGCAGAAACTATGACAGATTGAGGCCGAACTGGTTTATGATTTTAGAATCAGCTCTGTGTCACTCAGTATAGCGAGAAGTAAAAGTAACTCAGAAAAAATTCAGGTTTTTCTCTTCTTCAGGAAAAAAAACCAGCTAATTCACAGAACTCCAAAACACAAAGGGCAAAAGAGACTCCTCCAATGTACTGACACTGCTAGAAGTATTTCAATATTTAGGTACTAAGCTCACTGAAATTTGTCTCAAAGGAATTTTCAAAGTCCTCACGTTTACCAACCCAGAAGTGCTATGATGTTAGAAGTTGCACAGACAAGAGGAAATTAATGTTTACTCACAACAGGACTGGAAATCACCCTGCAGCACATCTTGGAAGTCCAGTAATGCCAGCATAACAGCCTATTCACAGAAGACATTCAAGAAACACAAAGTGAAAAATATAGACTCAGGACATGAAGAGTGCAATCTAAAAAGACACACTAAAGTGGTTTCCATTAGGCACAAGACACTCAGGGGTTCTCTGATCCATCCAGCTGGTAGCATTGACTAATATACTCTACACCTTATAAACAGCTGTAACTCCTGGTCACTAATAGCTTTTTCAAAAAGAAGAAACAATTAAATCACAAATTCATCTCACATGAGCGTTTGTCTGCTCGGCTGGTCTGCCACTCACAGTTAAAAATCTGTGGCTTGTACCGTATACAACCCAAGCAAACACTTTAAAGGGGTCAGTTCTGTAATTTAAGGGGGGGGGGAATGTTTACCATGGCTCCCCTGTGGTTTCAGACTAATGCTTCTTGAGCTGAATTCTCAACCTTTTCAACAGAGCAAGTCCAGATTCAATGGGCTCCTTGTAGAGAAGACTGTTAGTTAGCATTCATCCCGTGTGAAATGGCTTTTCAACCTGGTAAGCATTTCTAATCTGCAGAAAGCAAGTATGGAGAAATATTTCCCCACATTCTGGGGCAAGTTTTGATACCCTGGGGCAGCAGTGGAACAAGAACATAAGGGGCTAGCTTTTTCACTCTTTCAGCAATTAGTGAATCTAAATTAGTGTCATGGATCCAAGACTGAAGAAAACTGCTGAAGGCATAACCAGACATAACACTCAGGACAGCAGCTCAGCAAGGTTTTCCAACAGTTCTTTCTTTACATCTATCATATTTTTATCACAAGAAGGGCTCAAGAGGTGTGGAAAACCACTGATAACAGAAAGGATTTGCAATTTCTTGACTGCAGCTGAGAAACCTGTCATGTCAGCACTATTTGCATTGCCATTGACTAGCTTTTTTAAAATTTTTTTTGGAACTTTTGGAAATTGAAGACTTTAAACTCAGCTATGAAGTACTGTCTGAGAAGGAAGAGTTAGAGTTATTTTCCATTTCTATTCTGTAGTCCTCATAAAACATTAAAATGTAGTTGCTCAAAGACAATACTTTTGGAGTATTAAAGCAACCTTTGGAAAATCAGTTTGTCATTTCAAACAAGTCTTTGCTATTTGGTTTCTGTTCAGGTTTTGACCTTTACAAATTGGTTTGCAAAAAACTTACTCCCTTCAGATGATTAAATACAGTGACAAATCTGTGCTGCAAGCAAAGGAATGCCACTGCATGCAAAGCTAAGTCCTCTAGAACTGCATAGATTGCTGTACATCAGCAGGATCAGCTGGGTTAGTTATTCTCCCACTGGAGCTGCCAATGACTGAGCATTTATCAAGGCTATTACTGTAACATCCCTCTACTTTGTTGAACAACAAGATGCAGTAATTATGTCTCAGTCTGTAAATAATTTATGATCTGTCACATAATCCAGAAATAAATATTTATGCTGGGCTTTGAGAAAGGAGCACTGATCCTCTGAACTCCTCCCAATGCATGTACACACACATCATAAACATGAGTATATATAAACAAAATAGGAATGGCAGCAAATTGTCTTTTCTTTCTCCCAAGGGCTTTTCTTCCAGCACTTTAATGAGGACTGCAGAAGGGGAATGTTTTCCCCAGAGCCATACAGGCTCTGCTCCTTGCAAAAGGAGCCATACAGCTTAGAAGCTTGTTTGATCAAAGCAGCAAAACCACCAGAAGCACCATTCATTACACAGGTAACTACTGACCTGGGTAACCTGCTAAGACAAAGAGAAATCTAGGTCAAGGGAAGACAGAGCCAGTAGCTGCTCACCTCCAAATTCCAAACCTATCATCATATGAAATTTTACTCCATCCTTCAACACTGCAACCCAAAATACTACTTAATTAGTTAATGAAATTATTAATAGCTAATCTGTACGGAAGCAGCTTAGTGCCCCAATAGCTACGTAGGAATCATCTTCCCTTCTTTGCTCTAATTTTCGGTTGAATCTGCCAGCGCACCAGGTGGGGGCGCGGTGGGGCAGACGCGCCGCTCGCACAAGTTTGTCCCTCGGCGGGGCCGGTCGGTCGGGGGGCGGGC